TTTTTTTTTTTTTTTTTTTTAGTAGGGATGGTGTTTCACCATGTTGACAAGAATGGCCTCGATCTCTTGACTTTGTGATCTGCCCGCCTCGGACTCCCAAGTGCTGGGATTACAGGCGTGAGCCACCACGGTGTTTCACCATGTTGACAAGAATGGCCTTGATCTCTTGACTTTGTGATCTGCCCGCCTCGGACTCCCAAGTGCTGGGATTACAGGCGTGAGCCACCACGCCTGGCCGGGAGCTCTGTTGTTTATACTCCCAGTAACTAGCTAGGATTTCATGACTGGAATTATCACTCCTATTTCCTTCTCGTTGTGAGATTAATGAAAGGATACGTACTGAGCCTGGAACCTGGCCCGTCCAGGGACTGTGGATGTCCTGGGGAGGGTGACTGGCTGACAGCTCCTGAGATGGAGAAGATGAGAATCTACAGTCCTGTGAACAGAGCATGACCCCTGAGAACTCAACTTCTGTGCATTGACTAGCATATGCCCAGGTCTTCTAGAGACTAGAGTTAAAGATCTCATATTACAATTCTGCTCAAAAAACCTTCATCGACTTCCCATTAAATCCTAAATAAGAGCCTAAGTTTAGTCTAACGTGCCCTTTTCTAGAATATGATCCTGGTCTACCTGCCTGGTCTCCTAAGCCATGTCCCTTCAGTTCCTGTCATCCTTCTGCAGGACACTTGACCAGATATTCCAGAGACCCCGATGTCTCCCTCATGCCTTGAACGTACCATTAGGCACAATGCCGCGGAGAAACTGGACTTGGGATACAGGGAGACCTGGTCAGCAAGTCCAGCTCTGCCGAAGTCTAGCTCGGTAACCTTGGGAAAGTCACTCTACCTTCCGCTTGTTTTCCTCGTTTGTCAAAATGAGGGATGAGTCTATCTGTCTCAGTCAGTGGGCACGAGGCTGAAGCGACACAGAGTATCTGAAGGGTCTTAGAGAACCAGTTTGGCATAGTCTAGCATCGCCTTCCTGGGGGAAGAGGCCCCCTCTCCATTCCCACCCTTTGGTTCTGTGGGCTGCTGGTCATTGCCACTTGTACATCTCTAGACACACAGGTGAGAACGTGGATCTCTTTGGGAACTGTCAAACTGGAGTTAAAGAAGGATTGCCTCTTTAGGATGGAAGAGCCTGGAAGATGTGCAGTGGGGAGTCAGTGGTGCCATTTGGCCCTGAAAGCCAGTGTATGAGCATGGAGAGAGCTGCGGTGGCATTTAATTTTGGGTTTTGGTTCTTTCTGCAGCCAGCTGCAGCCCTTTCGACATGAAGCAAACTCACCCATCAATTACCCTTTGACCCAAGCTGGATTAAGACAGGGTTCTGAGCCTTGCATGAAGTCACCTGATTAATTCAGAAGTCAGGGATTGGGGGACCCTTCCCCGACCCCTCATTGCTCCAGGTTTGTGTTCTTATTCTCTACCCTTACCTTTCCCATGAGATCTGAGGCTCTGTGTAAGCAGGAAAATAGTCCTTAGACTTGCTCTTCCCTGTGAGCCAGCCTGAGGTTCAGTCAGTGTTTGGGCTTAACCCTCGCAGCTCAGGCAACATCAGCAGGGCAGTGAGAGCCTTTGCTCAGGGAGTGGAGGCACTTAGAAAACTTCCAGATGGGCACCAGGACTTCTGCCAGCTTCCAAGGGAGAACTAAGTTTGGACTTCCATGAATCTCAATGGCGAAACCGCCTTCATTTCCACTCAGACCCACCAAATCCAAGTTTCTGGAATCGAGGCCTGAGAATCTGCATGTTTTTCAAGCATCCAGGTGATTCTCATGTGGCCTAAACTTGAGAATCTCTGGGCTGAGTCTTTGATGATGCCCTGAGTTCATCATTTTACTTCTTCAGATTCCTGAGTAGAGCAGTGTGCGGAAAGTTAGACCCAAACAAGGCAGTGAGCTAGTTTCTTACGCTAATGGTCACACAGATCTCATAATTGCGTGGAGGACACAAGTGTCTCATAATTAGCGTCTGCTGTTCTGTTCCTGGGGGGCAATTGTTCCGCAACAATGCCCAGGCTCCGTGCTGGACCACCAGCCTCCCTCCCTCCAGCACATTCCAATCCCCTGAGAGAAGAGCCCCGAGTTCTCAGGACTTTAACCCTTTCCTGCCAGGACCCCCAGGGCCAGCGCTGAGGTGGGGGAGGTTCATGATCAGATGCTGGGCCTCCAGAGGGCAGTGGGAGAGGAAAACATGAAATGACTATTTGGGGCGGGGAGCACTTTGCATTTAAGGCTGTGTTTCTCACTCAGACCTAACGAAGCGCAACTCACAGGGTTGAGGTGCAGGAACCCCCCCCGGGAATTCTGATTTTACTAGGATCTGAGGCTCGCTGGCCATATCTCTACCTCTTTCAGGTTGACAAGTAGCCTGAAAGGACAGGAGGACTTACTCCAGTCCTGCATCTGCCACTTGAGCTATCACAACAGGCTTCTGCCTTCTCAGTGGGATTACGAGTGACGCAGCAGAGTAGGCAGCAGGATGTGGTGACAAAAACACACCTCTGGCCCTAAAGCTTGTGTTACCTCCTGGCTGCCATTCACCAGCTATGTGAGTTTAGGAAAGTCGTTTCACCTCTGAGCCGCAGATTCCTCATCTATAAAATGAAGACAAGAACACCTCTCCCTAGTATTAGGGTATTTAGATTCTTTCCACTTTTTTACTTTCTTTTACCATATTCTTGGCATTTTGTGTTTAACTTCAAGGTTCTGACCAATGAATGATCCCAGGAGTGTTCACGAAAACCCCTGGGGGAAGCTTTTACAAAATAAAGATCGAAGTCTGTGAGCTGGAATTCATAATTCATAAATTCATACTCAGGAATGGAGTATTTGGATAAAGTTCTTCAGGTCTTCCTAATGCACACTTTTATTTTTTAAATGTTTTATGATTTATTTTTTTTACTGACAGGACCTTATTCTGTTGCCCAGACTAGAATGCAATGGTGCAATCACAGCTCACTGCAGCCTCAGCCTCCAGAGCTCAAGTCATCCTCCTGTATCAGCCTCCCAAGTAACTAGGTCTACGGGCATGTGCCACCATGCCCAGCTAATTTTTAAAACATTTTTGGTAGAGAATGGGTGATATAGTTTGGCTATGTCCCTGCCTAAATCTCAGCTTGAATTGTATTTCCCAGAATTCCTATGTGTTATGGGAGGGACCCGGGAGGAGGTAATTGAATCATGACGGCTGGTCTTTCCTGTGCTATTCTCGTGATAGTGAATAAGTCTCATGAGATCTGATGGGTTTATCAGGGGTTTCCACTTTTGTCTCTTCCTTATTTTTCTCTTGCTGCCACTATGTAAGATAAGTATGAATCACCTCCTGCCATGATTCTGAGGTCTCCCCAGCCACGTGGAACTGTAAGTTCAATTAAACCTCTTTTTGTTCCCAGTTTTGAGTATGTCAGCAGCATGAAAACAAACGAATACACTGGTTTTGGTGTGTCGCCCAGGCTGGTCTCAAAATGTCCTCAACTGATCCTCCTGCCTTGGCCTCCCAAACTGCTGGAATTACAGATGTGAGCCACCACGCCTGGCTCCCTAATGCATACTTTTATTCAAACTCATCTGTGAGAGGCCTGGAGGGATTTTGACATGATAAAAAAAAAAAAAAAAAAGGTGTGATTTTGTTTTGCAGAAGCATTGATTTAAATTGTGCACACTGATATCTTAGGGCAAGTAAGTTAGCAGGGAGTGAGCCTAGAGAAGTACCCAGCATCGACCTGCCTGTCTCCTTTCTAAGATTTCCAAAGGGCTAAACACTTTACTTATTATCTTATTTAATCCTAAATTTGTATTATTGCTCTGGGCTACTCCCAGGCCCCCTGACCATATGTCCAGCCACCTGCCTGATCTCGCCACTTGGATGGGAATAAATATTTCCAGTGCTGCTGGTCCCCATGGAACTTCCGATTCCTCCTAAACCTGCTCATCCTCAACTTCAATGGCAACTTACTTAATGGCAATTAAATTCTTATGATTTCTCAGGCATTTTGAATATATCCTTAAATGTTCCCTTTCTCTCACATCCTACATCCTATTCTTGAGCAAATTCCACTGACTCTACCCTTGGAAAACATCCAGAATCCAAAAAGTTCTCATCATACCCACGGCAAAGCCTCTGTCCTAAGGCACTTTCACCTCTCTCCTGATCAGTGCCATCATATTAAGGCAATGTCTCTGATTCTACGCTTGACCTGCCATGTTCAAATGTCACCTTGGCAAGAGTCCTTCCATGAATACTCCACCTCAAGTGCCCTCCACCCCAAACCCCCAACCCATTCCATTTCCATGCTTTATTTTTCTCTGTAGCACTGACTACCGGTTCTTATAAGTTTGCTTGTTTTGTTGTTATCTGTCTTCTTTTAGAATGTGAGTTCAATCTAAATACCCGACTAAGCGCCTCAACTTCAGATTGCTGGGAAGTAATATAAATACCTTAACTCATGTAACGCATGGACTTTTGTCTGTTTTGTTAGCACTGGGACCCCCGTGTTTAAAATGGTGCCAAGTGTACGGTAGACCCTCACTGTTACCCATCTATCATCTATCCGTCTCTCTCTCTTTCTCTCTCGATCAATCAATCTATCTGCCTGCCTACCCACTTACCTATCATCTCTCTCTCTCTATCCACCTATCTGTCCATCTATTGAATGAATACTCACAACATCTAGGTATTTTCTTCATTTTACAGACAAGGGAGTGGAGGTCCAGAAGATATTTTTTCCAAGGCCACAGTGTGAGTAAACAGAAAAGCTGAGAGCTGGGTGTGAAACCCAGGACTGACCCACTGCAGAGATCATTTTCCCACACATAGAGGAAGAGCCACTTTTTATAATCTAACTACAATCTCCTTCTAAATGTAGCTCTTGCATTTGCATTTCAAATGGAAACTTGAGACTGTGATTCTCAGAAATCAACATGGAGGCTCAACTTTAAGACAAGAGGCCTTTTAAATTTTAAATTATTTTTTATTTTATTTTTTTAATGAATTAACTCTTTTTTGAGATGGAGTCTTGCTCTGTCGCCAGGCTGGAGTGCAGTGGCATGATCTTGGCTCATTGCAAACTCTGCTTCCCTGGTTCAAGTGATTCTGCTGCCTCAGCCTCCCAAGTAGCTGGGACTACAGGCACGCACCACCACGCCCAGCTAATTTTTGTATTTTTAGTAAAGACAGGATTTCACCATGTTGGCCAGGATGGTCTCAATCTCTTGACCTCATGATCTGCCCGCCTTGGTATCCCAAAGTGCTGGGATTACAGGTGTGAGCCACCATGCCTGGACTTTTTATTTTATTTTCTGGGACAGTGTCTTACTCTCTCACCCAGGCTAGAGTGCAGTGGTGCAATTACAACTTACTGCAACCTCCACCTCCTGGGTTCAAGTGATTCTCCCACCTCCACCTCCAGAGTAGCTGGAATTACAGATGTGTGCCACCACGCCTAGCTAATTTTTGTATTTTTAGTAGAGATGGGGTTTCACCATGTTGGCCAGGCTGGTCTCAAACTCCTGACTTCAAGTGATCTGCTCACCTCGGCTTCTCAAAGTGTTGGGATTACAGGCTTGAGCCACCGTGCCCAACCTAAACAAGAGGCCTTCGTATCCCAGTCTCCTGAATCTCTCTGAGCTATGCCATGCCAACTCTGCAGGAATCCAGACAACTCTAGTCAGTGTGGACCTGAAAAGGAACTGGATCCTCCATGGCTTTCCTGCTCATTGTTTCCACTCGTAAGGAATCCTAAGGAGAAAAATGGAAGACTCATTCACACAAAGATATTTATCTCTGAATTGCGATTTATTCAGTAGAAATCTTGAGAATTACAAATCTGAGCTCTGGAGCCCAATGCTAAGAGGTCTGGGAGAAGAGGCCGGTGCTGTGGCTCACACCTGTAATCCCAGCACTTTGGGAGGCCAAGGTGGGTGGATCACCTGAAGTCAGGAGTTCGAGATCACCTTGGCCAACATGGTGAAACTCCCCTCTCTACTAAAAATACAAAATAAATTAGCTGGGCATGGAGGCCCATGCCTGTAATCCTAGGCTGAAGCAGGAGAATTGCTTGAACCTGGGGGGCAGAAGTTGCAGTGAGCCAAGATGGCACCACTGCACTCCAGGCTGGGTGACAGAGCGAGACTCCATCTCAAAACAAAATAAGAGGTCTGGGAGAAGAGAAAGAACCAGTAAAAGACTCCAGAAAGGAGCGACCTGGCAGGTAGGAGGATACCAGGAACGTGCGGTGTCCTGGAAGGCAAATAAAAACATGCCTCGAGGAAGACTCCTAGAAATAAGATCAGAAATTGGTCTACTAGGAAAAAACAATGAACCTCCACTGAAGGATATGAAATAGGACTTCAGTAAATGGAGACACATCTTTGATAGGAAGTTTTAGTCTAAAAACACAGGAAGTTTTTCAGGAAGAATGCCTGCTCTTCATAGATGAGTCTTTAACTCAATGTAATTCCAGTGAAAACACCCTACTCAAACTGATGGGAACTTAACAAAGTTATTATAAATCTGGGACAATTGGTCTAGAAGAACAGACCTGAATTTCCTGAAAAGGAAGCATTGGAAGTGGAATTTGCCCTACCTGTTACCAAAACATATTATAAAGGGAAATTGATGGAAACCAGCTCAGAAGATAGCAGAGGGAAGGCTGTGCGCAGCAGTAGGGAGGGGAGGCGAGGAGGAGAAAAAGCAGAGATGGGAGTGCGGCAGAGGTGGGACGGCTGAGGTGGGGGTTGTCCCTCCAGGCCCCAGAGCTGCCACTTTATCCCTCCCACTCATCCAATTTGCAGTGAGCTCCCTTTACTACATGGAAAATATCCTCCTGAACTTGTTTGCAGGAAACAACACAAGGCGTGAATGCCCACTTTGAGATGTTAATTACTTATTTGGTTCATTTATTCAAAAAATAATGTATTGATTATTTACTCTGAGTCACACTGTGCTAGGCACTGCGAATGCTTGGAATACTCACCACACCCGTGCGTTTATAAATTTTATGACAATGTGAGAATGCTTAGATTTAAAATGGAAAACCACAAATGACAGGTTTCTCTGCCAACTCTACTCAACTGCCTTTCACCAAGGTCAGGGAACTCCAGGGTGTGGCTTTCCTCCTAAATTTACTGAGCCTGCCATGGGCCAGGCAGCACGCTAGGCTCTCGGGTTAGAGTGCCGACTATCCTCATGTGTTTATTAATTTAAAATGAGGCCCAAACATGGGGTCACACGGTGTCCAAAATGAAGTAACCTTTGGACTGACACAGCTTGTTTCAAAGCAGCTGAGATCCGTTGCCTTTTTGGCATTTGATCTGCGGTGTTGGGCCAAAGAAGCGGGGAGGTGTGTAGGGGAGGGGATCATAAATGCAGCTATTTAATCCACTGTCACTTTGTAAGAGCCCCATTGAATTTTTGATGGGAAAAATGTTTTTGTCTGGGTTGAGCTTCAGGACAAAAGAAATGCAAGAACACAGAGCAGAATTGATAGTGTTTAAAAATATGTTAAAAGATCTTATACTTTGTAACAAAGTCGGCCAGCTATAATGGAAGAACTCCTGACACAGCAGAGGCCTGGCCAAGCCCCTTCCCTGGGGGCCCCCAAGCTGTCATTTGAAAGTAATCATCCTGCCTGATGACCATGTGCCACGCTCTCGATGTTTGGAAACAAAATTGTGATGTGACAGACTGTACACTGTTTGTCCAGAATAACACACAAATGTGTTCTGGAGAATCCGTTTAGAGTTAGGGTATCTGGTGCAGTACAGGACCAGGAAACAGATGCCCTGGGTTCTA